CTAATGTTCTCCTGATAGTCACATTTTTTGAGAGATACACAAATAAAACTTTTAACTGTTTACATAAGTTCTTTATATGTTTGTCAGTTATAACTTACCCTAGTATAAGCGATCCAGTTACCTTTGCAATTTTTCCTTGAAAAAATGAAAAACTCATGTCAAACGAAGTTGTGTGCATCACCTCAATATTAACATAGTTACCGTTTGGGTATTGGACAATAAGAACACCAGCCACTAAGAATAAGCTTTTAAAAATTTTTCTATTGCTCTCCACCTTTCAGGAAATCATTAACCAAAATTTATAAACAGAGAAAACATTGCTTGATTAGAATTTCCTGCCCTCCTAAGCAAGATGATAAAATATGTATCCCGACAGTGCTACTTACTTTGAATATTGCTACCTCTCAATTACATTCATTGCTCAACTGCAGGAATCAACAGTAAACTTTCTCTGCCTATATCACTAGCAATCATTTTGAACCCCAACTTATTTTAAGGAATTAATTTTTTCCTACATGGTGTAGCTATATCTTCAATGTATATTATTACATACAGGAGTATGTACATTCTTTGGAAAGTCCTGCAGAGTCTCCATAAGAAAATATATTTTTAAAAGCAAACAGCTAATAAACACGTTACTCGCAACAATTTTCCTTTTAAGTCTAGTGATTCTTGTCAGATTTCAGCTACTTTGTCCCTACAACGTTGATCTGATTATCTGAATATAAGGATCTCTATACAGAGAAACTCTTATCATTACCAGTAGCAGCAAACCCAATGGAACACATCTCACCTATCATGAATAATTTCTTTTCCTCAGCATGAATTGGGAGATTTGCCCCACAACCACTGCTACCAGCTTCCATCTTTGAGAGACCATAAGAATTTGGCATGCAGACAAGAGGCAGCAGCTACATGTTGAAGAAATAACTGGCAGAGAAGTTTGAAAAAGAAAAAAAAATGCAATGCTTCCTGTAGAGCAGAAATTGAAATATCCTATCTTTAATGCTCAGAAATAAACTTTGTAAGAATCATCATTCTATGCAGAAAGCACCAAAGAGAGCAGAGACTAAGCAAGAACTAGTATCACGATATAAAAGAAATAATACAAACAAATTTTATTCCCTGTTTATGGATGTAATTTCATGGCTCTAGAGGTTACCAAAAAAATCTGATACAATCTGAGTTTAAGATAGTTTAGTGAGACCACATACAGTGAGGAGAGGACCTCCCATCATGTTTGTATCTGTTCCCAAATAATCTGCTGGTGTCATTTTACAGATCACTATGCAAAGCAAGGTCAGAAGCAGATAGGCACTTTAGGTTAATAGAAGCTTTTAATCACCAAGTCTTCAGGGACTTAGAACTTTAGTAGCATTTAATAATGCATGACATCATACCTTTCCTCTTTATTAACACTTCAGATCAATACATAATGAACTGTACTTACTGATATCATTCCAAGGTAGGTGTGTTTTTGTGGCTGAACCTGAGGTTCCTATTTGTCTGTAGCAAAATATACAGTAAGCAGACACTGACATTCTGTGTATTAAAAAAAAAAAAAAAAGTAATGATTGATTTGAGAATTGCAGTAGAAAACCTGCAGCAGTTTTTTCCTGTCTTTTTACAGAAAAGGTCATGATAGCAAATGTCACAATAAACCAAACTTGTTTCATTTCACTCCCTATAAAGAGCTCCAATTAAAGAAATCTATAAACTCTTTAATTTAATTGGCTGCATTTCAATTACAAGAAAAGTTTAAAGCAGTTTTTCATCAATTATGTGCTACTGTTGATTTTAGTATGTATTTCCAATTAACTTCTCTGCTTCTAAGTTTCCTTTTCTACTTCTTAGTAACTCCCCCTAAAATACCAGATACGGTCATGTCTCTCTATATGACATGGGACTTAATACAACTCAGCAACAAACTGCTTATGAAGTTTATAACAGATTGTGTTAGCAAGTAAGTCTTTCATTTTGATTAACAAGGCTCAAGGAACTACTACATATTTTTGGTTTTAAATGGCAAGTCTAACTAATACCTAAAAAACATGAAACCTCTGCATTTATTAAAAATTAGTACCATTTCTCAAATGCTCTGATTTCATGGGCTCATGAAACTCAGAGGGCAGGTAAAACATGCATGTCCTTCTTTTCTAACATATGCAAAAGAGCAAGAATCTAGCCTGAGTCACGAAGAGAAATGTTTCTAAAATTACGACCTTAGCAAAACATTATGAAGCCATGGGATACCAACAGAATAATTGCACTGTATTTACTGAATGCTGAAATCAAACTAGATTTTTTTTGAAGTCACAAACATACATATATTAGAACTACCACAGTTCTACAGGCAAGCCAATGTAAGCGTGAATTTTCTTGACAGTAGCAGTCTTCATGAAGGTAATATGAGAGTCCTTCAGAAATATGAAATGATTTATTGTTCTGATATATAGATATATATAGATAGATAGATATAGATATATAAAAACACTCAACTTTCCCAGATTTACAAGCAGGAAGATGAGTTAAGTAAAATTTGCTGTAACTTCCATACACTTTCTAGATATTACCTTGACTTTTTTAACAATTGGGACTATTCATAAGGGACCATGCACTTTAGCCCACTGATCAAGGCTGTATCTTAACCTCTGCACAAATGAGGTTAAAAGAAAATATATTTATATTAGACAAGCACAGAAACCCAAGTCAATTTAGGCCAGGCAAAAACACCAGTTCCAGCTCCTACCACTCACATATACTGACCATTTTATGTATTAGCAGAAGCTACTGCCTTTACACTATCTTTAAATAAGAAAAATTTGTCTAAATTAGGAAAATTTAAAAACTGGCTTTGGCAACCCACAACAACAAAGTTGTGCATGTTACTTCTGATGAAGACCTCCTCTCAAGTCTTAGTAGATAGAACATGTAGTATTTTTAGCACAAGCATTATGGGAAAACCAAGAAAGAATATTAAACATCATAATCGCAAAAATATGCAAAAAAAATGGTTTTGCATACACTGCAGGAGTAACATGAAATTTGTATTTTGTAAGTGAAATTTTAGTGTCTGCGTTGATGCATTTATACTGAAATACTGAGTTAATGTGTTTAAGTGGATTTAAAATCACACCAATATCTCTCACATATCAATCAAATTCTTATGTTGGAAACATAGTCATCCTTATTAAATAAAAAATTAGGTCTATATCATCACAATTAACTCAAAATGACAAAATGTGTAAATCTGACCTTGAAATTTGGGAGCCTTATAAGCTCCTTGAATTTAAGGTAATCTCTACAGACCAAGAAAAATGTTTATATTGCTTTTACTGTCAGTGTCCAACTCCTCTAAACAAGGGGTTTCTATTTGTTTTCTTCCATTAATGTGTCCTCTTTTCTCATTTCCCCAAAAGTTTTGATTTTTCACTTCTCTCTTGCTTGTGTTTGGGGTGTTTTTGAAAAACGTCAGCATTACCCCAACACTCTCAGAATCACTGCCAGCAGACTACTTTTTGACTTCCACCATTTCAACGTCATGCTTATCCATTCACTTCAGCAGTGTACACAACATCGTGATACACTTTGAAGACACTGATAGTCAGTCCTCTAGAGAAACCTCTTCCGCCTCCAAACTCTGTCTGATGGCAGTTCCTTCACTACCTTTATTCACAAAACCACATGCATTTATTTTTCTCCCTAGCCACAGTCTACAATTGCAACAAACATGTGTTTCAGTGACAGCAGATGCCACAATTACTTGAATTTCAAACAAGCAACTGCAAACACAGGAGGCCAAAATGAGTGCCATTTCTCTGCTGCCAGGAGCCTCCGTTCAGGTCCGAGAGTGAACACAAAATCGTAAGGGTTCAAACGGACCTTAAAGATCATCTAGTCCCAACTTCCCTGCCATGGGCAGGGATGCCTCCCACTAGACCAGGTTGCTCAAGGCCTTATCCAACCTGGCTTTGAACTCTGCCAGGGTTGGGGCACCCTGGGCAACCTGTTGCAGTGCCTCACCACCCTCAGAGTAAAGATTTTCCTTCTAATATCTAAACCAAATTTCTCCTCTTTCTCTTGTACCCATTACTCCTTGTTCTATCACTACGGTTCCTGATAAAGAGTCCCTCCTCAGCTTCCCTGCAGGCCCCTTCAGATCCTTTAAGGCTGCTATGAGATCTCCACGGAACCTTCTCCAGGCTGAACAGCCCCAGCTCTCTCGGCCTGTCTTCATAGGGGAGGTGCTCCAGTCCCATTATCAAATTCGCGGCCCTCCCCTGGACTGGCTCCAAGAGGTCCATGTCCTTCTCGCGTTGGGGTCCCCAGAGCTGGATGCAGCACTACAGGTGGGGTCTCACCAGAGCAGAGCAGAGGGGCAGAATCACCTCCCTCGCCCTGCTGGCCACGCTCCTTTTGATGCAGCCCAGGATTTGGGTTGGCTTTCCGGGCTGCGAGCGCGCATTGCCGGCACATACTGAGGTTATTATGCTTAGGGATCTACGCAAATACGACGCGAAAGGACCCGTGTTTGCAGCCGGTTCCACAGCAGGTCTGGGCACCTGCGAGCCCCCTCCCGCACCGGGGGGCGTGGTGCCCTCCCGCCGGGCAAGAACCCAGCGTGGGGCAGGGGCGCTGCTGCCGCGCGTCTGCGCCACCGGGGCTTGTACAAACAAACAAACAAACCAACCAACAAACAAACACCACCGCAATTTTAGGCGATGCAACACCTACATGTGGGGGGGTGGGGGTGGGGGGTGGCTCTGTGCCTCTTTCCCAAGGGGTTCAGAAAGAAAACAACCTGCTACCCCAAGACGCCCCCCCGTCTTGTCCCGCCCCGTCCCGGCCGCCATGCCCCCTCCCCGCTCCAGCGGCATCGCTCCCACCTTCCGCCTCCGCCGCCGCTCCCGTGACGCCGACCCGCGGGCGCTGCCGGGAGCGGCGGCTGCGCGTGCGCGGGAGAGGCGCTTCCGCCGAGCGGCAGCGGCGGGGCCGGAGCGTCGGGGCCTGCGGGAGCCGCGCGGGGCGAGGGGTGACAAGGCAGGGACCGGAGCTCTTGGGAGCCCCTCTGGCCAAGGCGGGCGGGACCAGCAGCGCTGCTGCTCCGGGGAAGTGAGTTGTCTATAGGGTCTGCGAGTTTAACCAAAGCGTTGTACCTTTTTATTTTTTTTTTTTTTCCGGTGCTTGCAGGGCTGCTCCGTTCGCGTGTGTCACCCGAAGCGAGGGGTTGTTTTCGCGGCCTCTCCCTCCCTGCTGCTTTTGCAAGAGAAGCGGGAAGATGGTGAATGTTCTGAAAGGCGTTCTGATTGAGTGGTGAGTGACGGCGCTCACCGCCTCGCCTTGTGTCAAAACCTGCTTGTTTCTCCAGACCTTGCGTAGCGTAGGAGTCCGGACAAAAGGAGTTGTTGTGATGCAGCTGTTTCAGTTGCCTGTAATTTCCATAATTCCGAAATGTTTTCTTCTAAACATTTAACTTAAAAGGTGACATCGTGACTGTTCAGTTAGGGTGTGCTAAATATACAATTCATACATGAGTTTTTTTTTTTTTCTTCGTGCT